AGATTGCACCATCTACTTGTCCAGATTATACAGAGGACAGAGAGGAGTTGGGCTGAATAAATCCCTAGGGCTTTCTACAATTTAGAGGTAGAGTCATGGAGAAGAAGAGAAACTGACCAGGAACACTCAAGAGGGCAGAGCATGTCAGAAGTGTGTGGAAGCAAGAAGTCAAGAAAAGGAAGTATGTCAAGGAAGTGAAGACAGGAGATCACCTGTCGATTTGGTGCCAGGGAGGTTGTTGGCGACTTTTCAGGGACAGTTAGTGTGAACAAGAGTGACTTGGAGAAAGCTGAGGAGGAAAAGGGAGGTGAGAGTGGAGAGGGCACCATCAACAACGCTATTGATAGTTCATTTAATGGCAGTACCATAATTTGTTGAACTGGTCCCATGATAGACATTCTTTCCCATCAGCATGTTAAAGACTTTGCTGCAATCAGTGGTGCTGTATATAAGTCTTCTGTCCTGTTTCTGAGTGTATTTAGAGGATGCATTCCTGAAGGTAGAACTGCTGGTTGAAAGGGTCTCTGTGTCTTTTGTTTTGTCAGGGATGTGGCCAGTCTGCTCCCACAGAGGCTATACCAACTTACACATTCTCATTAATGCAGGTACTTTACCTACAAAGTCTTACCAAGCTTAAATCTTTGGCTGTGAAAGTTGATTTTTAGTATAGTCTTTAATTTGTATTCTTACTATGGTAAAGCTGAGAATCTTGTCATATTTTCAAGAGCCATTTATTTCCTGTGTGAACTCTTCATATCTTTTATCCATTTTCCATTGGGTTTTTGATGTTTTCTTTATTGACTTATAGTTATCTCTTTGATTGTGAAATATTCCCATTTTTTTCTTGTGCATGAAGTTTTATGATATTGTGTCAATATTTTCTTTTATGGCTTCTGTATCATTCTAAGAGATTTTAAGAAAATCTTCCTGGTTTTCTTTTAGTACTCTTATGGTTTCGTCACAAACAAATTAAATTTGTGATCCATCTAGGATCTGTTTGCATATTTATATAAATATAAGATAGGAACTCAACTTACTTTTTCCTAGATGGTTACCCAGGCACTTAAATGCTCCCCACTGGGTAACTTTCCCCCTCAACTGATAAACATTACCACATTTATTCTGTAGGGGAGGAAAAAACTTTTGTGCTCTACCCTCCTGTGTTCTTTGCCTGGGACCCTAAAATTAGACTAAGAGAAGACGGATTAATGAGAGAAAGATGAACTGTTGATTAAAGCATGCAGTGCATATCCACACAGTGAAACTCAGCGTTGAGTAACTCAAAGAAGTGGTTAGAACTTGGGCTTATACCTTAATTGAAGAATAGATCTGACAGAATTGACAAGGCACAAGGAAAAAGAGTGAGTTTCTAAGGGTAACAGATTGTGGAAAGATAAAATGCATGAGGAAACTGATGGAAGATAAGAGCTAGTAGCAAGGTTTGCTATGCAGATTCCTCTGGTGCATTTCTTAGTTGATCTAGGTCTAGCATTGTCTCCAGTTTCCCTGGTGGCTCAGAGGGTAAAGAATCTGCCTGCAATGCAGGAGACCCAGGTTTGATCCCTGAGTCAGGAAGACCCCTGGAGGAGGAAATTGCAACCCACTCCAATATTCGTGCCTGGAGAATTCCATGGACAGGCCATCAGTTACAGTCCATTGGGTCACAAAGAGTCCAACATGACTGAATGACTAACACACACACACAGCATTGTCTCCAGTTGTCCTTCCTCGTAGATAGGAGAAAGAAATGCCTTTGAAAATTCATGTCCTAGTTTTAGGCAAATAGGGGAAGTGCAGGAAGCTTTTCTTGTATCTGCTTCTTCTCAATTGCCTTCAGTTCAAAATGATCCTTACACCAGAGAGGCATATTTGAGGGTGGCAGGTTCTACTTATCTACACATTCTACATACCTCTACTTTTTGTTTTTTCATGAAATTGATCACAATTTGTGATTATATGTGTGTGTTTGTTGCATACCCAACCCACTAGAATATAAATGATAAGTGTAGAAATAACCCAGATGTCCTGTTTTTCTTCTTTTTTTGTTTTAGTCTATAAAATGTGTGTGTGTGTGTGTGTGTGTGTGTGTTTGGGGAGATTGGGTGGGCAGCAATGAGACTGTGAGTAGGTAATAAGGTGATGCTGCATGATTTCAAAGGATATAGTACTGTATTCCAATGAAAAAGCTATTAAATCTCAAGGGTACTGACTCTAACAATGAAAATTTTAGACTGAAAAAGGGATGATGGTGAAATCATGAGAAAGTAAGGAGTAGCATCTGGGGCTGGCTACTGAAGCCAGTAATTGTACTCTCAGATGACTCTGGAGGTGCCAAACATTCCATTTTCATATTAACTGAACTCCAAGGTCATGGTTGACTTACCAAAATGGGATCTCACTGGACAGAATGTTAGGATGCAATTTCCATTATTAAAAACCGGACAAAAGCACAACTGGAAGCTCAAACTAGGATTAAATGAATTTATACAAAGGCTAAATAATGATTGCTAAATGAACCAATTGAAATAGTACTGATCACCAAGAGGCACTCTGCTAGGGAGTAAGGAGGGACAATAAAAATTGTTACATTTAAATTAGACTTTGAAGTTCAAGCTAATTTCAGTCATCTAACTATTGCACTTATTAATAGTTGTGTCACATTTCTATTTCAAACAGAAATGGATACCATCAACCTGATTGAAATGAGAATTCACACTCATGAGGAATATGGTCATTAGAATCAAGTTTCTGCCAATGATGAAAGGAGAGCATTTTTCTGAAAAGCAGCTTGGTTTCAAACCTCCTTAGGGATTCTAAAGGCTGGCTCACAAGGGGGATCCCTAGGACTTCCCTGAGTTCATGAGCTCTGAGACATTTCTAGAATGTCTTACATTTGCAAAGTTTGAGGCCAAAAGGTTGAGTCTCTGAACATGCCCTGAGATGGTTGCTTCTCTCTCTATGGGAGGGATAGAGATATGGGATTTGTTTGATAGACCATGCTTATTATTTGCAACATTTTCACCACAATCCCATTCTTAATGCTCACTGGTCATTTCCACCTCCCAAAGTGGTACATAGGTAGCAAGGCCTGTTGCCCAAGCTTCATGGCTTGACTGCATAGGACATTTGATGATGTGTAAGCTACATACTAAATTGGACATTTGACATTTCTTTTTTGAAGCCTGTCATCCAAGACCAGTTTTTTCCCTCTTGTATGTTGGTGGAAGGGAAAAGAAATCTGATGCTTACTAGGGGTATTTAAAAAATGACTAACTGGAAACTTTTCACCAAATAATGTCTTTCTAGCCTGCTGGGACTGTCAAGAGACTGAACTCCTTTGCTCAGCTAAATATATCATTTAATACAACACACACAGTGCAGACAGGCATCAGACTTTTAAAAAATTAAACATAAAATATAGTAACTTTTTAAAAAATGCATGTTTCTCTAGAGAAAGGACTCGACTCTATTTAATAAGGAGTTTACCTTTAGAAAATACTTTGGATGATCATTTTGATAGAACCACTTTTAGAATAATAGTATTTTAAAATAAATGACTAAGGATAAACATCAAAAAATTTGTTTCTTTCAAATAAACTTTTTCTGCATCATGATGATTCATTGTCTACAGTTTTTATGGCATCTGAACTTTTAGAATAGTATTTCTTTCCCCTTTCTCTACAATGAGTTGAATGGCAAATGTAAAGCTTATCTTAATAGTCTCTTGCTTGATTTGACAAGGTCATATTTCTCTTAAAAGCATTCTGTGGTGACAGTAGTAATTTTTCTAGATGATAGAAATAATTGCGAGAAGTATTCAGCTGAAAAAGTTTGTGACATGTCACTGAGGGCCCACTATCTTCTTTATTACACAATGTGCCTCCAAATTCCTATTTATTATTTTTTTAATGTTCTTTTACTATTTTGTCCTTTTCCATGTGGGAGTTAGAAGTTAACCCAGCTCTTTCTGGGGCTCCTGACTTTGAGGCCTCACTTGGCCTATCACTCATCATTTCTCACTGAGGCTGAGTCACAAAATTGTGCTATGCATGCTTTCAAGCACCCGCCAGAGCCATACTCTCCCCAGCTTCCAGCATCTGGACTATAGCAGCCTCCACCTGGTCTTACTTTTCCACCCACCCACTGCTCCTGTGGGTGCCCTGGGTGGCTCAGTGGTAAAGAATCTGACTGCAGTGCAGGAGACCCAAGTTCGATCCCTGGGTCAGGAAGATCCCCTGGAGGAGGGCATGGCAATCCACTCCAGTATTCCTGCCTGGAAAATCCTATGGACAGAGGAATGTGGCTGGCTACAGTCCACAGGGTTGCAAAGAATTGGGCATGACTGAGCATGCACGCACTGCTTCATGCCTCCTGCCCTGGACAGGCCTGTGGGTCAGACGCTCTGCTGCTGGTCCTCCTGTCAGTCCCCCTTGGTACCTAGGTTCCTTGTCTCCTTCCTCAGGACTGTGCCCAGCACACTGTAGCTACTCTAGAAATGTCTGCACAGAGCCTCATTTCTGGCTCATTTGTATACCCCCGGAGTTCCTCTCCTCTTTCAAAACTCTCTTGATTTTATGATATTTAGTAACTGCAGAAGCTGGGAATAACACTCAGAGGACTGAATTTCTTTTAATTACATTCTGACTCACTTCAGAAGGATCTTGATCAATAGCAGTGCTTGATTAGGATTGGGCCTTGTGCCATGACCACAGTCACGGAGAGAACATACAGAAAAGTACACTTCAGCGCTTCACGGCAGTGATTTTCTAAAACGGAATCTTAACCAAATGTTGAAAAAGAAAAAAGCAAGTGTGGCATTGATACAAATCACAGGCTTAGGAAATGGCCACTGCAACAGATAGAACTATGATACCGGCAGTCAGAGGTTCTAAGATGCAGTGCGTGTGGATTTTTGGTTTTGTTTTTTGTACGTGTAGACAATCTGGGTTATGTAATCCTGATGGATGTGATAATATGGATCTCTCTTCCTGTCCTCTTAGGGAAGCCATCAGCCGGGTTTGTGAAGCTGTCCCTGGATCCAAGGGAGCCTTCAGGAAGAGAAAGGTACCAGCCTCCCATCTCTCTGTCTACCTGTGTCTCCTTTATTTTTTCCCACTTCTGTCACCATGCAGTATCTTTAATCACACACAATTGTTCAGTTTCTCTTTCCCATGGCCTGGCTCTTGTCACCTTTTTTTTCTTTTTTTTTTGGCTTAGCAGTGGGGAACCAAGAGGCATCCTTTGGTTTCAAGGGGGTAACTTATGGTGACAAAGTAAGTAACAATGACTCTTGCCACTTTTAAAAACAAAAAGAGCTTAGATTCCCTCTTTGCCATATGGTTGATGAGGACAGTTAGCTATCAAGGCTAACTGATAGTGTTGCCAAAGTAAACACCCCAGGTCTACACCTAAAGCTCTGTAAACCAGGGCCAGATGCTCTTCTCAGCTCTTCCGTACATTAATTAATTTCATTTGAGCAACTCTTTGTGGTTGATGCCCTCAGGGGTGTGCTGTTAAAAGTTGAGCAACAGGCTCTTGGGGTGGAGACTGAGAAGCACTAAATTGGTCATGTTTGCCAGTTTCTATGGGGTAAATGCTCCACTATGGCCAATTTCAAGCTCTAACCTGATATCCCTAAAGGGCATTGGGAAGAAGTGTGTTTTAGGTCACTGTTACACAGCATCCCTGCCACATGTAATGGATGTAATGAACAGCATGGGCATGCATACTCAGTATCTTGGTCATGTCTGACTAGTTGTGATCCCATGCACTGTAGCCTGCCAGGCTCCTCTGTCCGTGGAATTTTCCAGGCAAGAATACTGCAATGGGGTGCCATTTCCTCCTCTAGGGTATCTTCCTGACTCAGGGATTGAACCTGAGTCTCCTGCATCTCCTGCACTGGGAGGTGGATGCTTTCCCACCGAGTCACCAACCTGAACAGCATATGTAATAGATAATGTAGCAACAGTTAGGAAGTGATGAGTTTTGAGTGTTCATTGCTTGTTTTATAAATGTAATTGATTTAATTGGAAGTCTACATAAATTAATTTTAAGTAGCAGCTCCTTTTAATGACCAGCTCATTGTTGTTGGTCAGTCACTCAGTCATGTCCAACTCTTTGTGACCAGCTCATAAAACTCCTAAAAAAATCAATAATTGGCTTTCGTTAGCTAGAACAAGCCAGCTCTGGAATACCACTGGATATTTCCATTTTACAGATGATAGAAACTGAGGTTCAGGGATGGGAACTTACAATGCGAGATGGTGGAGCTGAGCTCAAGCTCAGGCCACCTGGCTTCAGGGGTTGCACTTTTAATCCCTTGACCTTTTCATCCTGGAGGTGGTTGGACCAGAAGGAAAAAAAAAAAAAAAACTTGATTAAGAGAAAACATAGAAAAACTCTTTCCTTAAGTGTCTAGTATATACATAATTAAATGCCCACCATCTGGACTTTTCTAAGCCTGGACTGAATGGTGGGGAGTGCGTGCATCCCTGTCTTCGAGTCTGTCCCAAGACTGAGGTTCTGGGACAGGTTGTGTCATTGCTTCCGCTGCTTCCAGGGCTGTGGGTCAGCTCTGCTTTATAGCTTGCAGACATTGGTGAACCCACAGAGTAACTGGGTTTCAGGCAGATAAGTTTGGATGAAGGCTCAACTTGATGTGCTAGCCTGTGTTTCAATCAGCCCACGGGAGGCATAGAGGACCAGGCAGGCTCCAGAATTTTGAAAACAGGAATGCTTTTATAGTCTTATGGTACTTGACCAGCAGTTCTCAGGGTTCTCTTGACAAAGGTGGGGGAAGCAACTTCTATTTTGAGGCTTCACTCTGGTATACTTAATCAGAATCTCCTGGGTGGGCCTCAGGCATCTCTCTTTTTAAATAGCTCTGGCAGGGGATTCAAAAATAGTGCCTGCCTGGTTAAGAACTAATGTGCATTGGCATCTTAGAAGAGGGCATGTTCTAATCTGAAAAGGAAGTATGGGGGGGCAGTTGGTCCCTGTGCCAAGGACAGTTCTGGAGGACTGTTTTATGCACCAATTGGAGCGGAACTGGGTCTATCCATCCTTGTGCTGGCCCCAGACCCAACAGTTTTAACTGGACCATTTGATTGTTCATCAGCCCCATGAGCTGGTCCATTTAGTCTAGTCCTGAGTAGTTTCCTGGTGGGATGAAGCCAGTTTCTGAGGCTGCAAAACTTGTGGCCTGTGGTGCTTTCCTGAGGCTTATGAGTGACCTTCATGACACGCATCCCAACACGAGCAGCGTGGTGTACTGACACCTCTGACCTTCTTGCAAGGTCCTCATCTCAGTGTGTGCGTGTTAAGTGTTTTAGTTTGCATACTGCATACTCTAGAATTGATGTGTTAGGGTCAGATGCCACCCTCCCAGCTCATTTCTGGGACATGGCCTTCGTGGGCCTGATGAGATGGGAAGGTGGAGGTTGGAGGTGTGGCGGATGGAACAGTGTGGGGGCCCTGACAGTGCGGCCTCCAGAGAATGGAAAGCTAAAATAATGCTTTTTCATTTCACAGCCTCCAAGCAAAATGTTGTCCAGCATCTTAGGCAAGAGCAACCTCCAGTTTGCAGGCATGAGCATTTCCCTGACTATTTCCACCGCCAGCCTGAACCTGCGGACGCCGGACTCCAAACAGGTCTGTAGGCGCCCATGCCCTGCCCTGCCCAGAACCCCCAAACCATGGTTGTTTGAAAGGGCTTCCTGTTTCCAGCTTTATTGGGTCCCTGTGGAACACATTTGTATAAAGTTTTCACCAGTCTACAAACTCTGGCCACTTTTAAAGTTCATCAAGTGAGTGATAGCTGGAATTGGGTCTTTTGAATTCTGTTATAAATTACCTTTTTTTTGTTGGGGGAAGGAAGGAAAATGCATGAAATCACTGATTTACTTAGAGTTAAAAAGAGGTGTATTTGTATATGCAAAACTTTCCTATCAATGTCCCTTTGCCCCATTTTGTTTTTTCTCATGTTGTATTTTGTTGGTTCAACAGCCCACATTTAATTTTCACATTTATCATCTTTGAAATGGTCACATGCTGTGGTTTAATTGATAGTATTTTTAATTTCTTAGCGGGTCATTATTTTGGAGGCTCTCACAGTTGAGACTGTCATGGAGTTGATGTGACGAGGTGCATCTGTGGCACATCCAATGTGGCGGGGTCCTGGCTGACAGAGGTGGGGGTGATGAAGCTTACTGAGGCAAACTTTGTTGAGGTAGTTGGGTTTTTCCACACTGTCTGTCATTTAAGTTTCTTTGACTGTTAGTTCCTTCAGCTGGGAAAGTGGGTGTATGAGTAGCTGTCCTGGAACCAAGAGAACTTTGGTTCTGAAGGCCAGAGGAAACAAAGGAAGTGAACATGCTCAGCTCAGTCTGGGGTTCTGCTGGCGGCAGTGTAAGCTGGGATTCAGCTGTGTCTCCATGGAGGCGGCTGGGCAATCCATAGACCTCTGAGTGACGCACTTCCCCACTCTGCAGTGTGTTACCGGGGATGCCCAGGGTTACCTTCATCTTGTTAAACAGTCATATTTATTGATTTCCACACCCTCAGGTGAGCAAGCAGCCTGCCCAGCTTCATTTAGGATGAATAGGACTCCACCTCCAACCCCAGATGCTGAAGTAAATTCTAGATCTGGCGTAGAAACGAGAGGCAATGCCTAGGCTGTGCTTTGGTGTACTGGACGCCATTTCTCACTCCATTCCTTTGTCCTCACTCAACTGATGGATAATTCCTTGTCTTTTCTCATCGGCCCTTCTGAGGGGTGGGTAACCAGTCATCTCGTGGTAGATTAGAAAGATGCCATGGGCTCAGCCTCTCTCTGGAGCTGCCTCTAGCTGTGGTGGCTTGGGATGTAGCATGATTGAGCGTGAAAGTTAATGAGATAGGTTTCCTCAAGGTTCCCCTCACATGCCCACTTTCATTCTTTTTTTTCTTTTAAACATTGAAATATAGTTGATTTACAATGTTTTGTAAATTTCTACTGTACAGCAAAGTGATTCAGTTATATATGTTTTATATGTATATATTCTTTCAAAAATTCTTTTCCATTATGATCTATCACATGATCTGAACATAGTTCCCCGTGCCATAGTGTAGGACCTTGTTGCTTATCCATTCTCTATATAAAGGTTTGCATTTGCTAATCCCCGACTCCCAGTGTTTCCCTCCTGCCTTCTCCCCCCTTGGCAACCACAGTCTGTTCTCTTCCATTTTTATTGCGTGTGACTGTTGCATCTTTTGTTTCTAGGAATCCTCAGGCCATGGTCCTCAATTTTGTGAAATCGTTGTAATTCCACCTTATACTTACGTGTCCCACCTCAAAAAATAAAAAGAGAGAGAGAGGCAGGCTCTCAGAGCAGAAGGGATGAGGTCACAATGGTTGGCCTTCCCCATCCTGTGGTTGGGGGCTGGTTGGGTATGTCCTGGTCTCATGGTCCTGCCCTGGGGAGGGAGTGCTAGTCTTGGGAGATGCCAGTGCAGATACATGAGCACAGTCTGAGGAAGGTTTGGCAGGAGCCGGAGCTCACATCCCTCAGCCTCTCCCGAGTTTAGGCCTGGCTGTAGCAAATTGAGAAGGAGCTTGAGTGGGCATGCCCTTCCCGATCCAGAGACACAACCTAGCTGTCCTCTGCAGAGCTCGCAAGGAGGAGAAGCAAGATGAAACACCCTCAGAGCAAAACACATCTTTTCGTTAATTAGCTCTCATTTTCTTACTCTCCTTTTCAATTTCTACTCTACCTAAAGGGACAGCATAAAATCACACAGAAATGGTCATGTTGACCAAATATGATGTTCATTTTATTCTGAAATCTTTGATTTCCAAATCTCAGCTTTAGGGCTGCTTTAGAATAAAAAAATTTAAAAAATTAACAAGCAGAAATGAACAACTTTAGAAGTCATAGTTTGTCATCATTTGGGGACTGCTACGTCCTCACTGCTCTCCTGGGAGCCCCCTACCCCCAGACTAGAGGCAGGAGACAGAAAGCTGCAAAAGGCAACTATTGGTTTGATCCAGCTGGGTTTGAGTACAGGCTACAGAGCTAGACTCACTGATTTTATTCATGTGTATGCTCAGGATTCTTCTAGATTTTGAGTAGTTTTGTGAGTGCCAACAGCTGAAGTAGGCATTTAAAAATATCTCATTTTATCTTATAATTCAGTTATAGCTTTGCTTTGAGTTTTACTGGCTCACGATCAGAAAAATCCCTTGGATGGTAGGATTACGGCTCTGAATTCTGCCTGCCTGCCTCCTGGCGAGGGCCTGAGGGGGCTGTGCAGAAACAAACTTGGTTATGCTGGGCTGGAAGCAAGAGTGCTGTTCCCACCCCCGGAAATTTACTTCAGTGTCATTGCATTGTCTTTAAAAAGATAAAAATAGCAGGGAAGACTTATGTAGCTTTTTAAATTTAGGGCAGCTTCTAATTTGCTCAGTGTCTACTAAATTCCTCTGTATGCTGCAGTTGATAATGCTAATGGAAATTTCCCATTTTAAAATTAACTTGGAACATCCTTGCTGGTTTTTAAAGTGATCAATGACAAGAGTGCTGGAGAGGGCATTGATTTTGATCTTGGATGTAGGCTAATTCGTGTGCTCATCCTACAAATCGGATGAAGTAGGGGACAGCCACATTTTCCTCCCCTCCAGCTATGGGGTCTTTAGACCCCATGTGTCTTTGGAAACAAACTGCACAGTTGAAGTATTTTGGTGTGTGGGTGAGACATTTTCCTTCTCAAAGAGGCATGGTTATTAAGACCCTCTGTGTTCAGGTCTCAACTCTGCCTTTTGTTAGCTATAGAGCTTTGAGCCAACTGCTTGCTTAGCCCCTGGGAGCCTCAGGCTCTTCATCTGTAAAATGGGATTGCAATAGTTCTTACCTCACAGGGCTGCTGTGAGATGTAAATGAGATAATTCTGGCAAAGTAGTTAGATGCACAGTTAGATGCTGTGAAATTTCACTGGAGGTTATCTATTGTTACCACTTTGATAATTGTTCTTTTCATTGGGTACCAATTTTACCAGTTTTCAGGAAACCTTATTGATTTGTATTGTCTGCCAACAAAGAGTTTGTTTTCCAAGACATGGGAAGGCTAATAACAGTACATCTTTGTTTCTTGTTTTCGGCCTGGCAGATTATAGCGAATCATCACATGCAGTCCATCTCCTTTGCCTCCGGGGGAGACCCGGTAAGTACCCCTGGAATTGTTTTCTCTTGTTTTTGTCAGAGTTGCTGAGAAGGGACTCTGCTTCAAAAGCATGCCTCTTAGAACCCTGTAAAGAAATTTAACTGTGATACCAGCTACCTCGGCTTCCATTCCATAAGCTCTTCCTATCATTTTTTTTTAGGGTTGACACATGGCAACGACCTACTATTAAATTTCATTTCATTAGGGAAGAGCTGTCAAAAGTCTCTGAAGCAGTGGCTTTCTTAAGGGGTAGTGACATAGCTCCCTAGTTTCCAAAGTGGCCGGCGTGTGCGCCTGACCCTGCCAGTCCTGCTGTGTTTCTATCTTTCTCTTGGTTCTTCCCCGGAGTTCTCCATTTTGGGATTTTAAGTTTATTCAAAGGCTGTGAATTTAATTACTCTGACTTATTCATAAATATTTGAAATTGGTATTTTTCTCTCCAAATTTAACACTGTTGTCTTTTAATGATTTATTTTGCCAACAGGGAAGGAGTTGTGGAGAGAGAGGATAGAGAACAGGAGAATGTTCCAGTTTTCATTGCTTCTTTTATTAAGAAGGTGGCCTAACTAGGGAGTTTACTCCCCACATATGGTCAGGAAATCTACGATACAAGGCTAGCATTCAGCTTCAGTGTCAGGAAAACCACTCCCTCCTCAGGCAGGACAGCATTTTTGTTATCCTTATTGCTGTTTGTATTATTTTATCAAATTGTCGGTAGGCAGTGTTCAGATTTTATGTAAGGCTTACTGGTCCAAGATAGCCTGAGTAATCAGTGCATTATATTAATTACTTCTTATCCCAAGGCCAGGGACCTTGTCTATTTCTAGCTGGGAAAGGGGATTTTTCCCAGACTCCATGTTTAACTCATATACCTTTCTTCCACACTCCTACCTGGGTAGCCTGATTGTAAAACTGCTGTTGGCACATTGAAAGTCAAATCAAGGGAATGATTTCTTCTGCTGGTTCCAGTCTCATTTCCAAAGGACAGTGTAACCATGACATTGAGTGTATTCGCTACAGGAAAGCCTACACTTGCCCTTCTCTCCCCCACCTGCTGCAGCCTCTGGGGAGGTATCACCCCCATCTTCCCAGCATCACTCAGGTGCTCCTGCTGGGAAGATACAGGCTGCATCTCAAGGGTCTGAGACAGGGAGATGCCTGAACCAAGGGCACCGGCAGGAGAGGGACTTGGCCACCCTGTTGATGGCTCTTTGCCCTTAAACCTCTGTTAAAGTTTCACCCTTATGGCAGAAAGTGAAGAAGAACCTCCTGATGACAGTGAAAGAGGAGAGTGAAAAAGTTGGCTTAAAGCTCAACATTCAGAAAACTAAGATCATGGCATCTGGTCCCATCACTTCATGGCAAATAGATGGGGAAACAGTGGAAACAGTGACAGACTTTATTTTGGGGGGTCCCAAAATCACTGCAGATGGTGACTGCAGCCATGAAATTAAAAGATGCTTACTCCTTGGGAGAAAAGTTATGACCAACCTAGGCAGCATATTAAAAAGCAGAGTCATTACTTTGCCAACAAAGGTCCATCTAGTCAAAGCTATGGTTTTTCCAGTAGTCATGTATGAATGTGAGAGTTGAACTATAAAGAAGGCTGAGCACCAAAGAATTGATGCTTTTGAACTGTGGTGTTGGAGAACACTCTTGCGAGTCCCTTGGACTGCAAGGAGATCCAACCAGTATATCCTAAAGGAAATCAGTCCTGAATATTCATTGGAAGGACTGATGCTGAAGCTGAAACTCCAATACTTTGGCCACCTGATGTGAAGAGGTGACTCATTTGAAAAGACCCTGATGCTGGGAAAGATTGAAGGTGGAAGGAGAAGGGGATGACAGAGGATGAGATGGTTGGATGTCATTATCGCCTTAGTGGACCTGAGTTTGAGTAAACTCCAGGAGTTGGTGATAGACAGGGAGGCCTGGCGTGGTACGGTCCACGGGGTTGCAAAGAGTCAGACATGACTGAGTGACTGAACTGAACTGAAAGTGTCACAGAACGACCAAAGCATTATTTAAACATCTTATTCAGTGGATTTCACTGGCTTTAGCCGTATTTCATACTTAGGGTCTAATTTTCAGAAGTCTTCCAGGATGCTTTCCTCTTCTTTCCTTCCCTTCTTTTATTTTCTTTTCAATCCTTTGATTTCTTACGATCCACTGCGAAATGAAATAACTCATTGAGATGTATGTTTAGAAAGTGGAAGTCTTCCATAATCAAGCCCATCCAAGGAGCACTTCTGAAGATTACATCAAGACATGATTATACACTTATTCTCTACCTGTGCTACACATATACTAGACATATACACATGTCTATACTTACATCTGTAACCAGGTCTTATTATTTTGCACACATGTCTATACTTACATCTATAACCAGGTCTAATTATTTTGCACTGGCTGTCTACTTCTTGCCTAATGTAATGCTTGAAACCAATTTCTTAAATTTGGAAGTTGACCCAGTTTGAAAAATAAGATGCAGAAACACTGAACACCTGCATCAACATCTTCTTTCAAGAATTTGTCTCAAAAAAAAAAAAAGAACTTGTCTCAAACTTCATCTTCATGATGATGTGATGAGAGAAGGTGCAAAGATATGGGAATTGGAAAGTCAAATACATTGTCCTGTGTTGAAATTATTTTTTCTTATCCAGGATTCACTAAGATCTGTAAACTATTTTCAGTTTTCATCATCACCTCTTCTTAATAAAGGAAACATTTCAGTGACCCCTAAAGTAATTCATAACTATTAATGTTTTTTTCTGATACAAAAATGTTATGATTCTAGGGGATAGGAAACCTAGTTACTTTTTAATTTTAAACAATTCAAATGCATATCACCTTGTGCCTGAGTTCCCATTCCAAATTTATTTGTAACCATTTCAATTGGTAGATGTTTTAAATAAAAACAATTCTTATTACTCTTCCTTGTTCTGATACTAAGTATGTGTCAATTTTTCGCTCTGTGCCTCAGTTTACTGGGTAAGAATATGGTGTTTTGAAACGTCAAATAAGACAGACTGGAATAAGACAGTATCTGTCTTATTCTTATTCATTATAATTGTTTTATTCTTATTCATTATAAGAATAAGATGAATAAGACAGACTGTTAATCCTTGCAATAAATAGGCATACTACAATTATTATCTACTATTATTAGCAGTTCTAAAAGATCACTAAAAGAATGCCAGAATAATGGTTGGGCTCAGAAAAGCTTGGGAGTGAGAAGACACATATATAAATACAGAATAACCCTTGGCAGCCCCATCTTTGGAACTCAGAGTGCTCACTGTGTGACGGGGTGATGTCAATAGCATTGTTTTGAATAGCAATACATTTCCCTACTGTGCCAGAAGTGCATCATTTTTGGCATCAGAAAGGCTGTGTCCTTGGCTTAATTGCTGATCAGCTGAGTGACAGGGGCATATCATGTCTCTTGTCTAGTCTTCCTTCCCTAGCTTGGAGTCAGCAGAGCATTTCTCAGACTGGAGTAAGGACTGAAAAAGAAGAATTTCCTTCTATATCCAGAAGTGTGGACTCTTAATTTTGTTATCAAAATATATGCAAAAATAAATTATGTATAGACTCCTTTTGTTTACATCTTTTATTGAACTGTAAATCCCAATCAAACTTGGAAGTGCAAATAAACACAGTAAGACTCGACAACATCCAAAGTAAAATTAATTTACTGTGATGCATAAAGTTTTGCTGAAACTAAATCTCTGCTCCCAATGTGACTCTAAAACTGGCCACCATGATGCTTTTGAGGGCAGCAACTGTACTTTCACAGGCGTCGGATGACTCACTCCTTCCACTAATTTCTTCTATTCAAGTAAACACTTCAGTCATACATCATTGCGTACAAAAGTGATATTAAATTGCTTCAGGTGGGGCAAAGCCATCTAGTCTGCTTGTTCTTTTCTCTCTAATTCTTTAAAAAATTTGGCACCCAGAATGTTGGAAACCCCACTGAAAATCTTGGCACTGAAATTGCATGCAGACTTGATGACACAGTTGTTGTTCGAATGATCCCGCATTTTCTTGTATTAACTTTTAAGATTTTCATGGAAAGGAAACCATAAAAGAGATTCTGGTGATATCTCAAAAGCTGGAGACTATACCTGCCCAAACCCAGCATTCCATGGATCTCAGATTGAGAAACACTAATGTTCTCTAGGGTCACTTCTGACATTCACATCTCTTGCATCCAGAAAGGGTGTCTATGATGACAAGCTACAATCCTTATTTTTGCAAAATAGCTTCAGATTCTGAGCAGATCTTCCCTGATGAAACAATCGGAAGCTGTGTTGACTGTTGGTCTCCCACTCCAATTCCCAGGTTAGTCTGTGAATATACCAAACGAGAGTGGTCTGGGCAGGAAGAGGAAACAGCTTAGCCAGGCTGCATGCTGGAGAATGACCCCAGGTTAGCAGTCCAATATAGCAAGAGCTGCTCGAAGCGCTCTCCTTTTTTAGTGAATGGTGCTGGGTTCTGGGGAGTGATGTTTGGAAAAACACCTTGAACCATGAACTCCCTGCCATGGATGATCATACCATGGCACCACCCCACTCCCACCCTCATTCTTCCCCTTTCCCTCTCACATTGGAGGATTTTCTGGAGTACTGTAGGGAGAGAAGGGGTTGTCTTCTCTGCCTACAGAGAATCACAGTGAAGGAACTCATGACAGTCTTGCAAACGCTGGAAAAAAAAAAGCAAAAACAAATAACCTTGGAGTCCTCTGAAACCATCACGTCGGGGAAATACCAGCAGCCAGGGGGAGAACTTTACCAGTTGCCCCCCTGCCTTGAGAATTTTTTGAATGTTGAAAATATCAACTTTGCAGCAAAGTCTTTCTTTTGCTTTCAAGAATTCAGAGATGGGACTTCCCTGGTGGTCCAGTTCAGTTCAGTTCAGTTCAGTCATTCAGTTGTGTCCAATTCTTTGCGACCCCATCGACTGCAGCACACCAGGCCTCCCCGTCCATCACCAACTTCCAGAGTTTACTCAAACTCATGTCCATTGAGTCAGTGATGCCAACCAACCATCTCATCCTCTGTCATCCCCTTCTCCTCCCATCTTCAATCTTTCCCAGCATCAGGGTCTTTTCAAATAAGTCAGCTCTTTGCATCAGGTAGCCAAAGTATTGAAGTTTCAGCTTCAACATCAGTCCTTCCAATGAATATTCAGGACTGATTTCCTTTAGGATATACTGGTTGGATCTCCTTGCAGTCCAAGGGACTCGCAAGAGTGTTCTCCAACACCACAGTTCAAAAGCATCAATTCTTCGGCACTCAGCTTTATTTATAGTTCAGCTCTCATATCCATACATGACTACTGGAAAAACCATAGCCTTGACTAGATGAACCTTTGTTGACAAAGTAACATCTTTGCTTTTTAATATGCTGCCTAGGTTGGTCATAACTTTTCTCCCAAGGAGTAAGTGTCTTTCTTTTAATTTCATGGCTGCAGTCACCATTTGCAGTGATTTTGGAAACCCCCAAAATAAAGTCAGCCACTGTTTCCACTGTTTCTCCATCTTGCCATGAAGTGATGGGACCAGATGCCATGATCTTAGTTTTCTGAATGTTGAGCTTTAAGCCAACTTTTTCACTTTCCTCTTTCATGTTCATCAAGAGGCTCTTTAGTTCTTCTTTGCTTTCTGCCATAAGGGTGGTGTCATCTGCATATCTGAGATTATTGATATTTCTCCCAGCAATCTTTATTCCAGCTTGTGCTTCCTCCAGCCCAGCGTTTCTCATGATGTACCCTGCATATAAGTTAAATAAGCAGGGTGACAATATACAGCCTTGACGTACTCCTTTTCCTATTTGGAACCAGTCTGTGGAAAGTTCCACGTCCAGTTCTAACTGTTGTTTCCTGACCTGCATACAGATTTCTCAAGAGGCCGGTCAAATGGTCTGGTATTCCCATCTCTTTCAGAATTTTCCACAGCTTATTGTGATCCACACAGTCAAAGATTTTGGCACAGTCAATAAAGCAGAAATATATGTTTTTCTGGAACTCTCTTGCTTTTTCGATGATCCAGCAGATGTTGGCAATTTGATCTCTGGTTCATCTGCCTTTTCTAAATCCAGGTTGAACATCTGGAAGTTCACGGTTCACATACTGTTGAAGCCTGACTTGGAGAATTTTGAGCATTACTTTACTAGAGTGTGAGATAGGTGCAATTGTGCGGTAGTTTGAGCATTCTTTGGCATTGCCTTTCTTAGGGATTGGAATGAAAACTGACCTTTTCCAGTCCTGTGGCCACTGCTGGTGGTCCAGTGGTTGAGAATTGGCCTGCCAATACAGGGGACACAGGTTTGATCCCTGGTCTGGGAATTGAGCTCGCAGGCTGCAGGGCAACTAAGCCCACGTGCCCTAGAGCCTGTGCTCCACAACAAGAGAAGCTACCTTAATGAGAAGCCTGGCACAACTAGCGAGTAGCCCTTGCTTGCAGCAACTAGAGAAAGCCCACGTGCAGCAAAGAAGACCCAGCACAACCAAAAAAAACAAGAATTCAGAGAATTGTTGGTTCCTCTGTTTAGAAACTAAAACCCACGTGGTTGCCTAGGCCCACTTCTGAGATCGTCAGTTCCTCTGTGTGCCAAGTAGGTGAATCAGCCAGGGGACTTATATTTCATGTGTAAGGGGGAGACTTCTCAATAGAATTCAAAGTTTGGAAACATCTCAAAGGATTAAAATCAGTCATTAAGTCATCATATCTCACCCACCCATTAGGGGTATTTGTAACCAGGCTTTGAACATCCACTTCTGATTTTCTCAATGTGGCCCCCAGATCAGCAGCAGCTGCTGCCTGGATACTTGTCAGAAATGTACATTTTGGGTCCTCAGCTTGGACCTGCCCAGTTGGAGACCTTGGGGGTGGGGCCCAGCAATCTGCACTGTAACAAGCCTTGGGGGACTCTTGACACCCGCTCAGATTTGAACACCATTGTTGGAGAGCTGATGGCAGTGTTTCTCAGCCTTTGTCCATAATAGAATTATCTCTGGAGCTTTTAAAAATTCTGATGCCCGGGGCCCACAACCACTCTGGTTAAATCAGATTATCTGGGAGCTGGGACTCAGTGATCAGTGTTTTTACAACTCCTTGGGTGATCCAACATGTTGAGTACCTGGGCCTTCTAGGTCCTTGCTGCTCACAGTGTGAGTGTGCGAGAGCTGTCTGCCGATCTCCGGTGATCTCTGCCCTCCATACAGTTCGAGACATGTCCTTTAGCTGGTCTGTCGTTTGGGCTGTTCTTGGTGTCTGAGCTGCTGTGTACACGATGCATCTGCTTCACCCGTGGTTAGTGATGTGACATCTCCTTTTTCTTTCACAGGACACAACAGACTACGTTGCGTACGTTGCTAAGGACCCTGTTAATCGCAGAGGTAAGCCATGTGTGACCTCTGTCATTTCTTATTCATGTGCAGTTGGGCTTAACACTGGATACAAGTTGGTCTTCATGATCTCAGCCCTCTTCACCTGCACAAACAAGTGCTCTCTCGTACTGTCAGCGATAATTGAGCTTTACAGGCAGTGAAGTGTGGCGGCACGCCTGGCTGGGTTAGGAGACGCTGGGTATCTGAGAGTCTGAACCACACACCTGTATAGGAGACGCTGGGTATCTGAGAATCTGAACCACACACCTGTATAGGAGATGCTGGGTATCTGAGAGCCTGAACCACACACTTGTATAGGAGACGCTGGGTATCTGAGAGCCTGAACCACACACCTGTATAGGAGACGCTGTCTAATATCTGAGAGCCTGAACAACACACCTGTATAGGAGATGCTGGATATCTGAGAGTCCGAACCACACACCTGTATAGGAGACGCTGGGTATCTGAGAGCCTGAACCACACACCTGTATAGGAGATGCTGTGTAATATCTGAGAGCCTGAACCACACACCTGTATAGGAGATGCTGGGTATCTGAGAGCCTGAACCACACACCTGTATAGGAGACGCTGTCTAATATCTGAGAGCCTGAACAACACACCTGTATAGGAGATGCTGGATATCTGAGAGTCCGAACCACACACCTGTATAGGAGACGCTGGGTATCTGAGAGCCTGAACCACACACCTGTATAGGAGATGCTGTGTAATATCTGAGAGCCTGAACCACACACCTGTATAGGAGACGCTGAATATCTGAGAGCCTGAACCACACACCTGTATCCAGATGGCCAGCACTTGGTACACCTGACCTGCGCAAGGCAGCTCCCACTTAGACTCTGAAGGTGGACTCAGTTACACCTGAAGCCTGTACAAACCGCTAGCCTCCTGCCCGACACCATCTACTCATTTGTCCACTGCCAGCCGTCCTACACTGCTCTGCACAGCCCTGGAGGCCAGTGTCCAAGCTCAGGGCTCTCCTCTTAAACCCCGCAAAAAATGCTAGACACAGGCCTCAGACACAGGCTAGGTACGGGATTTGAAGGATCAAGTACTTCCCATCCTCATGGACCGTTTATTCCTAGACCTTCCCTTCGTACCCACCACCCCATCAGTTACAACAGTGCCCCCACCCCGCCAGTGTTAATAGGCTTGGGCTGGTGGGCTGAGTAGGGAGGATGCTACGCTTGAATTCCAGGCAGCCACCAGGTGGCGCAAGACTCCAATTGAGAACTCATCAATGACGCTGACCAGTGGGGCTTATAACACCACAAAATGGCCCTTCCCTTCACCACCATTGGTTCCCCTCCTCCCCAACCCTCTACCCCAGAAACCAATTAAAATTTCCTAGTTGGCTTTGCAGAATTTTTGTCTGTAAACACACACACACACTCTCTCTCCCTTCTTTTAAAATTTCAACACAGATGTGATTTTGGAATTCTGTTTTCCCACTAACCTTGGGGGAGGGGGAGGTGGCAGGCTAAACCACATTCCAGAGTTATACTGGTTGAAGTTCTTCTTTTATTGTTGTTTGTTCCAAGTTAACCTCACGTAATCCTAGACTTTCTTTTGATACCTTTAAGGGTTCCTAGGTCAGTGGTTCTCAAAATGAGCTATATTTTAAATCACTTAGGGAATTTAAAAAATCTCAGTGCTCAGGTTTCAGAGCAGTGGTGCCCATGTTCAGCCAAGGCTGAGAAATCAGGCTCTAGGGACAGACCCCGAAGGAATATAACCCCATGCAATTTGCCTTAGGGCCATAGGCACATACAAGCTATTGTCTTGTTTCACAGGCAGAAACCAGCAGTGCCTTCTGCCCACAGTGCCTTTTCAAAGTCAAGGAAATCAGGATATATTTCACATGCGTGTTGGTTTCTAGACCAGCTGCTCCCTGGGACCCATGTGCAGAGCTAGTGTGAAGACAGATGCCAGACCCCTGCGCTATGCTGCTGGTGTTTTGATGGTACCATCAGCAAAGGGGTCCTTTGAGATGCTGTGTGGGAGATGTTCACTCCTTCCTTCCAGTTATCTGTTGCCTGTAGCACAGCTTTGTGGCTTAACGACCATCATTTTTAAAGTATTTTTTGATATATTGTGTCACGAGGCCAGGCAGAGCTCAGTTGGCCAATTTTTCTGCTCTATGTGGCATCAGTGGGGTCTTGGGTGGTCTTTGGCTGGTAGCTGGCCTGGTCTAGAAGGGCCAGATTGATTTCACTTCCATGCCTCATACCTTGGCAGGAAGGACTAGAAGTCTAAGCCAGCAGGGTCTTTCTCCCTCTGCATGGAGTCTCAGGGTCCCTCCAGGTTGTTCCTCCATCAAAGAAGTAGGACGTCCCACGTAGCAGCTCCATGATGCCAATGTGGACACATCCAGTGGAAGGCCAGGCATGGCTCCACCTCTGTCCTAGTTTACCAATCAAAGCAGTCCTAGCCATCTGAGATTCAGGGGACGAGGGAACCAGACCTGCCCTCCAACAGGGATTTGTAGCCTTCTTTATCCATCACATTTCTGTCCCCACCCCTGCCACCCCCACAAACACACACATACAGGGAGCTCCAGCTTCCGCGAGGCAGTAGGTGAAGGGAGGCGGGTTGCATGAGTCCAACTATGAACAGTATCTCAGAGTTGGCTTTGCCTTCATCCCCTGTATGTCCACCCCTCCCCTACCTCCTTCCATAAGATGCTGGTGGAGGGCTCCCCCGGTTGCTCTGTTCTTCTTCCTCCTCCTGGAATTAAACCTCCAGGCAGAGAGTTTAATTTAGTAAGAATGGCCTCTGACATGCAGGAGTCATATTAGCAAGATGTTCTGGGAGTAAGTGTTCTTATTTGGACTCTTAGATAGCCAACTCCCCACACAGTGGCCCCAGTCAGTACGCTGGGGTAAGCCTTATAGCACTGTGGTTCCCTGGCTGCCAACAGAGCTCCTCAGACTGGACAGATATCTGGTTCCACATCTGGAACCCAGAAAGTCTTCTGTCAAAATCCTACAGAGATGCATCAGAGTCCCTCACCATTATCATTCGTCTTTTCCACGTTGATTCCTGCTTATACATTCCTGTGTGTGTTTTGGTTAATCTAGAAGTATTTACAGCAAGCATCTATATATTTCTCTCAAATATCAAGAATCCATGGTTTATCTAATTAATCTGGTGGAAGAGAAAAGAATCTCTGACCCAAGTCATTAAGTTCTTTGGTAACCACCACCACTATCTCGAGGAGATAAGTGTTGCAAATGAGCAAGTTTCATGAAGTCGGCAACTTATCACTGAAAGGCAGTCAACCAGGAAGGAGGCCTGGAAGGTAACTCCTGATGTATGTAGGATAAAACGCAACAAAGCAGGCTTTGCAGGATCCTAATATGTCATTTTCTTTTCATAATGAAATTTGGATTATGACCCAATGATTCCCCTGCAACCAAATGTCTGTTGGTTCAGGATGGACTGTTCGGGTCACAAAAGAAGCTAAAAGATATTGCTCTGCTTAGACATATGGCTGCCTGCAGGTAGCTTGTATTCCTATAACCTATAAGCACAGTAGCATCCCTGTTCAGGCACCCACTGGAACTCCTGAATTTGCTGTAGAAAATCATGTCCTGTGGTGATGACCTGATGGCAGAGAGCCCTCTGTTCAGCTTGTATAGCTTCTAACCCGCTTTTCCCCCAGGGTTTCCTGGATAAGGGGAAATGTGGTGAATGGGCTTGAGAGGGAAGTCCCGTGGCCTGCTGCTCACATGACCACACTTCCTTCTGCAGGCTGCCCTACTGGCTCACGGTCATTTCAACCCTGAATTTAGGGTTCCTCTGGCTTTGGACCAGAGGCCCCAGAAGGTAACTTTGTAGGTTACCTTAACTTTGTAGGTCCCAGAACATAACTTTCTGCTAGAACCTTACAGAGCATGAACTCCTTAAATAATAGAGCACTTAGTTCAACTTTTCCTTTCCCTAGAAGCAAAACCTCATCACCTCATTATAGATGAAAGCAACGATTTGTTTTTTAAAGCCAGGAGGTTAAACTTCATCAAATAACTCTGTGGTGGGAGGTTACTTTTCCTGTGGGCGAATGATTAGGTTGTTCTTTCCCTTATCTGGCTATTGTCAACAGTGTTTTTTTTTTTTTTTAACAAACAAGCCAACCTCTGGGTTTTAAACATGCTATGCAGAAGACCCTGAATATTTCTGCCTAGACCAGAAAGTCAAACTTTCAGACTCTGGCTGAAAGTCAGACTTGTACCAGCCTGTTGCACATCTCTGCTCACAAGTCTCCTAGGCCCCTCACTGTGATAAGCTGTGAACTAAGTCTTTCCTTTCCCCACAGAGCTTGTCTCACTCGTCATAATGTGAGCTGATTCCTGGTCTATCTGCTGTCTTGTTTCCTATGATTTTCTCCCACCTCCACTCCAGCTCCACTACTTTCTGGCTCATCCTTGAACATGTCAAGCAAGCACCTGCATCAGGGCCTTTGCACCTGTTTAACCCCATGCCTGTGACATTCTTACACTAGACTTTCCCATGGTTCACTCCCTGACTTCCTCCAGGCTTCTTCTGTGACATCATCTCCTAGGTCACCTTCCCTGGTCATCCTGTATTTTATCCTATACCGTTGTCCTTAATTTACATTTACATTATTGTCTTTATGGTTGTATTGGTTTGTGACTGTGCTGTGCTTAGTCGCTCAGTTGTGTCCCACTCTTTGTGGCCCCATGGATTGTAGCCCACCGCATGGACTGTAGCCTGCCAGGCTCCTCCATCCATGGGATTCTCCAGGCAAGAATATTGGAGTGGATTGCCATTTCCTTCTCCAGAGGATCTTCCCAACCCAGGGATCAAATCCAGGTCTCCTGCATTGTAGATAGATTCTTTACCATCTGTACCACCAGGGAAGCCCAGAAATACTGGAGTGGGTAGCCTCTCCCATCTCCAGGGGATCTTCCTGACCCAGGAATTGAACTGGGGTCTCCTGCATTGCAGGTAGATTCTTTACCAGCTGGGCT